CTAAAGTTATTGAAATACACTTAATTTTTCTTTTGTTTTCAATAAGTAATTTAAAAAGACAAATGTCAAAAAATTAGATGACACATGACAGCCTCTCATGCCTTGAAATTTGAGAAACCTTACTATATTATATAAGAATTACCTATTAAATTGTTACAACTAATTGATAAAGTTATTAAGAGAATTTAATTTTTATTTTTTTAATAAATAAATTAAAAAGTCAAAAGTCAAAAAATTAAATGACACATGGCATCTTCTCATAACTTTGGTTTTGAGAAACCTTAAAATATTATATTAGATTGATATATGATCTTTGAATACAACGAGTTGAATGTTCTAAACAACGTCTATGAAAGAATTTCATAGATTCAAACATTAGTCGTTAGAGCCATTGCTTTTTTGATGGTATGGTCGCTTCGACTTGTCTGGCTAGATCTTTGGTTGAAGTCGTATCCCCCATTTTGGAGAACTCAATCCTCTAATTTATAGAGAATGTCTCATGTTTACCTTCCTTCTTATTGCAATAGAAATTAAACAATATACTCATTTGAAGTTTATCCAATAGTAATATCTCAAAAAGATCGAGATTTAGTAGTTTCATAAAATCTTGGAAATCTTTATCCTTTCTTTTCTAGGATTTTATCTATCATTCTCCAAATACCATAAGCTTTTAAAAATAGTTATTGGGTTTAATATGTGGTAAAATTACCCCTAACAATAATTACTTTTCACGATTTTTTTTCCAAAAAATCTTACTCGTTAATTATCAATTCTATTGTTTTCTTTTCACATATTCGGATATGGTCTTATGCGATTTTCATCTCTGGTTGCCATCTCCTCGTTAAAACTATCAAACACAAATTCTCCTTGTTGTATTATATTTGACCAACTTCAGTGTTAGATCTATTTATTTGATTAAATCCCCATATATATATATTGATTCTCCTTAAAGAAATAAACTTTTAGACCGTTAATTTTCAACGATTATACGAATATAGCCGGTTTTCATCTCCGATGCGCAGTAGACATTATTTTCCAACGTCCCAAATCTTGCCGATCAAGACACCAAAATAATATTCGAATTTTATATTTAATCTCTTCACATGAGCGGTGTCGAGTAGATCGGTGATCATGGAGAGTTACAAAACCCTTACAGAGATTACAAGTTCGACTTATGTGAAGCCATACTCATTTTGACGAACCAAAAATAAGTCGTCTCCAACTTGAGAAAACATTGTTGCCATAGTTGAAATCTTTCCAAATCACCATAGAAATCATCTCTAACCAAGATCAGATGCAATTTATTAAATGTGATCTATGTGATTTATGTATTATCACTAATTAGTGTGATTTATGTTTTGGTACTTATTATCATATTATTCATTAATGTAATCACCACTTTGTGAGAGAAAAAGGAAAAACAACGAACAGACAAAAGAGCCATCGCCAAAACCAACAACCGTTTGGGTGAGAGAGCTTGACGAGAACGACGTCGCATCCGCCATTTTCTCCTTCCTTCAAGCAACAC